ACACTTTGAACTTGGACTTAAAGCCTCCAAAACTGCAAGAAAATAAACCCCTGTTTATTCAGGCCATCCCATTTGTGGTATGTTCCTGTCAGAGCAGCACTAGGGAACCAGAGTATGACTTACGGTGTCACCACGTGTGTCAGAGCAAACTGTGCCCTCGGTGGCTGATTTTTCAAAAGCAGACTGCCAGGAATTTGTTCCAATACACCGCTGGGTAGAGTCAAAACTCCAACTTTTTGGTTAGCAGCCCAATGTGTTAACCTACTGTAGCTTCCAGGGATCCCACGTTGGGAAGAACAGATGACTATGAAACAGGCTGAAAATCCCTAACTCCACATGGACCCTGCTGCTTGTAGCTGTGGACTGTGATCTAACATGGACAAATCTGATCAAATTTCTGGATGTATACACTTGGCTGAATCTCCTGCATAGTATCATCTGAGACGCTAAATCAGAAAATGACATACAATCCCTCAGCATCAGCCAGACAGGGCTCTATCAAAAATCATCAATTCTCCACCTGCTAGGAGCATCCTTAGTAACACTAGAGAGCTGTTTGAATTCAACAAATGCACTGGGAAAAACCCCAGCAGAGGAAACTCCCAGTAAATATGAGACTTTGGCAAAGTTATCAGCTTATAAGTAGAAGGCGTCATCTTCTAAGGAGCCCTGGTGGCATAATGGTTGGGTGCTTGGCTGCTAACCACAAGGGTGGAGGTTCAAACCTACCAGCTGCTCCATGGGAGAAAAAACCTGGCAATCTGCTTACATAAAGATTAAATCCCTTTGCTGTTGAGTGAATTCTGACCCACAGCGCCCCTAGAGGGCAGAGGAGAACTTCCCCCATAGGGTTTCCAAGGCTGCCCACAGCAAACCCACTGCTGTTGAGTCTATTCCAACTCACAGTGCCTCTACAGAACAAAGCAGACTTCCCAGGGTTTCCAGGACTGGAAATCTCTGCAGAAGCAAACTGCCACATCTTTCTCCTGGCTGGTGTGTTAGAACCACCAACCTCCTGGTTAGCAGACAAGCACTTAACCACTGGGCCACCAGGGCTCCCTCCCACAAAGATGACAGCCTAGGCAACTCTATGAAGCAGTTATATTCTGTCCTAAAGGGCCACTTTGAGACAGGATTGACTTGAAGGCACCCAACAACCACAATCTTCTTCAAGGGGCCACGAGGAGTATTGGCTGAGCAAGACCAATTACAAATGATCTAATGGGTGTGAGTGTTCTGTGGTGTCAAAACTACAGATGTAACTATACATTGTTTAGGGAAAAACACAAAATAATATAACAATGATAAAAAAAAAATCAAATTGTTTAGACAGGTGTCAATAATCTCAAAGAACTCAGAGAAGTCACTGTACGCAAGTAAAATGCTCCTTTACGAATAATAACACATTTGTCATTTGCTGGATTGATTTTCAGCAAGTCATCTTTCCCTCGTGTACAATTCATACTTCATTAGATACTGATGGGCTGGATGTAACAAGAGGAACAAGCGTGAAAAGGACGTGCATGCTCCCCGAGGGCAGGATGATGTGGTTAAGAGGTGGTGAGAGAGGGCATTCCATCACGTGCTCTAACACACATTCGTCACTGCACACAAATTAAGTACATAAGGTGGTAAGTCTGAGGCTAGGTGCATAGAAGGGTCATTAGTCTAGCAAGAATATTCAAGACCTAGAAAAACAAGAAAGATGATCGTATAGGTCTATTTTAACATGAGGGGTTCCACGTTTCTTTCCTATTGCTATGACAGAGTAAAAAGCACACCTGAATTTTAGGTAACCATTTCAGGCAGCCCACCACCCATCTGTCAGTTGGTTGTACTGTGGTGGCTTGCATGTTGCTATGACGCTGGAAGCTATGCCAGCAGGGTCTCCCATGGCAGGCAGATTTCTGCAATTTGCAGACTGAGACAGACTCCGAAGAGAAACGTGGCAACCTACTTCCAAACATTAGCCAGTGAAAACCCCAGTAATCACAACAGAATATTCTTTGATACAGTGCTGGCTGGTGAGCACCTCAGGTTGGAAGGCAATGATGGACTGAAGCCTGGTGGTCCTCATGAAGACTACACAGGGTGGGGCAGTTCTGCTGTACAAGGGGTTGCCCTGGGTCTAGTTGACTAGATGGCAGCTAACAACAACAACAATTTCGGCCAGTAGTCAGGTGTCTACGCCACGTATGACTAAGAGGAGCAATATATCATTGTTGTTGTTGTTATGTGCCGTCAAGTCAGACCTGACTCATAGAGACCCCTCCTTGGGTTTCCGAGGCAGTATCACTGTGGAAGTAGATTGCCCCAATATATCATCAGCTGATGTTTAAGATCAAATTTGTCCCAGAACTAGTACCTGAAGGAGCAATCCACTTATAGAGAGAGACATTAGAAACAAGGAAACTTGCTATCTATCAACACATCACCAAAGGGCTGTAAGCTTTGGGTTTTTGTTTCCCAGCAGTAGTGATGGGTTTCTTCTGAAATTTCCTCACACTTGGTTGTGGGCATGCATTTCACTGAAAACCAGCACAAACTGAGGGATGGTACCTTTGACTGATATTTCAGGGACTGCTTACGATCACATGTCACTCTCTCATGACTTTAGTTTCAGTTGTTTGGGACAGACCCCACATTGCATTTCATTAGCTACCACCTTGACAAGAAATGACAGCTTCCAACAATGAAACTGCACTGAACAGGGGCATAATGGGGAAATCTCACTTTCATTTCTAACTGGTGGTGAGAACCAGCACAAATCTAATTCCCAAAGTGTACAAATGGATCCAGTCCTCACCTTCCTACTTGTTTATCCTTCTCGCCAGCCTCTTGTGCAGTGTTCTGTGTATGTCCCAGGCATCCAGAGCTGGGTCAGAGCTCACAAGCCAGACAGGCACTGCCTTTCAGCCCTATCCACCCAGAGCTGGGCAAGAGCTCACATGTTAGGACACCTTCTTTCAGAGTACCTTACAGGAAGATGCCAGCCCCTGCTGGCCCTCACTGCTCCTGTGGTTCATTAATTTGCTGGAGTAACTCACAGAATTTATGGAAAGTATTTACAACTAGAAATTTATTACAAATGAAAAAGTATACAAAGAAAGAGACACATACGATGAGGTCTGAGAGTGCAAAGCTTCCATGTCTCAAAGAAGGAGGTGCTACCCTTTCCTGTGCATGGTCACCAACCAGGAAGCTCATCTGAGCCTCAGGGCTCAAGGCTCTTATTGGCCTCATGACTTGACCATGATAGATTATCATGCCTCTTGAAGCCTGATCAGCACTGAGCCCCTAGGAGATCTGGTCAGATCCCATTCATTAGCCTCAAGTGTTGGTATAGGTCAAAAGAACTGTGACCAGAGGCCAAATTGCTATTACAAGGTGATTCTACAATTCATTGAAATTATTTCAAAAATGCCTATTTTGTGTAATACCAATAAATGAAGCTAAACCACAGGGCAAGTACTATCTACAAATGAGGCCTCTGCAAGACAGATCCAAGAGAGGGCTTTATGAAGCAGCATTGGCTGGATTAAATTGATGGTATTCCAATGAGACGACTTTGAAGAGGACAACAGTCATTTAACTTTAGAAGTTCTAGGAGGTTTCTTTCTGAAGTGCTATGACTTAGTCTATTCCAAATAAGCCTGGTAAGTCTTGGGTCCTTATGTATCCATTTTATCACTTATGTACCAGAGATTGTTACTCCATATGGTGATAAAGGGAGCTCTGGTGGCATAGTGCCTAAGGCATTTGGCTGCTAACCAGAAGGCTGGTGGTTCAAACCCATCAGCCACTCCTCAGAAGGAAGGCTGGGCAATCTACTTCCGTAGTGATACTGCCTTGGAAACCCAAGGAGGGGTCACTATGAGTCAGATCTGACTCCATGGCAGTGAGTTTTGTTTGGTTTGGTATGGTGATAAAAGTAACATGTAATTTAAAAATATTTCTAATAATCACAATTAGATTGTAAATTAGTAGTATCAACTTCTCAGTCTTACAATGTTCCTCTTTAACATTAGCAAAGAAATTCTCTTGACTTTAATTCTTCAGTCTTCAATTTTCTGCTATGATGCTTAGCAAGGAAGGACGTTGCCAACCAAGATGTTAGAAAAATCAATCAACTGGCAAAATGATTAAAATAGGTATAATTATCTAAAATAATAATATCCATTTTAAAAGTAATGAAAACACACCCTAAGAGCACAAAGTTTTTATGTGGAAAGCAATAAAAAAATGTTGTCAGTTTTTAAATTGAATGTTCTCTACATACTCACTAAACTCACTGCCATCAAGTCGGATTTGACTCATAACGACCCCTCCTTGGGTTTCCAAGGCAGTATCACTACAGAAATAGATTGTCCAGTCTTCCTTCTGAGGAGTGACTGGTGGGTTTGAACCACCAGCCTTCTGGTTAGCAGTCAAATGCCTTAGGCTCTAAACCACCAGAGCTTCTATTATCTACATAGTGTATTTAAATATTTTTCAGAGAGCTATAAGAATTTAAATATTGCTACCAGGCAGATGATGCTCTTCAGAGCATGTTCATTTGATCTGGGAAAACTTTCCTCTTCCTTGTCAATGCATCTGGGGAGACCTTAGGCACCTCTACCAGACACTTGAAAATATAAGACAAAACCCTGTACCCAAAAAGTATTTTTAAAAGTGATTACCTGTGTGGCTTCCAGCCAAACAACAGACAGGCATATGGGGTGAACATTTACATCAGATAGATAAACTCCTTGGAGCAATCAATCATGGGAAACCAGAAGGGCAGTGTTTGCATAACAAGACAGCTGGTGGGGGGCAGAGTGCATGAGAGGGAAGGACACAGGGAAGAGGTAACTACCGGGAGGAAGTGGGAAAAGAGCTGTTCCATTGTGGGGAACTGCAGTCATGAGACAAACTGTGTATGAACTGCTGTATGGAAAATGAATTTGCTCTGTAAACTTTCACCCAAATCACAATAAAAATTAAAAATAAAAAGTGATTACCTATATTAATTGCAGTTTCCTGCTTGTCGCCTGTCAATACCCATATTTTAATTTCTGCCTTCAACAGAGTTGCTATGGTTTCTGGAACGCCTGCCTGAAGGCGGTCTTCGATGGCTGTGGCTCCAAGTAACAGTAAATTCTAGATTGAAAAAATATCTTTGGTCAAAGACTGCAACATACCTAAGAGTAGCATTAACCACAAAATTCCACAAAAATAAGGCAGTCAAAATGTTCTAAGACAGTTACCTCATTTCCTCTACATCAAGCCTTTATTTGTAGATGATTAATGATACTAATTGGACATCAAGATGGTCTAGTCCTGGAGGAGGACATCATGCTTGGTGAAGCAGAGGGCCAACAAAAGGAGGAAGGCCCTCAATGAGACGGCCTGACACAGTGGCCTCAACAATGAGCTGAAACACAGCAGCAATTGTGAGGACGGCACAGGAGGGCAGGGTTCCATTCTGTTGTACACAGGGTTGCTATGACCTGGAACTAAATGGACAGCACCTAACAGCAACAATATCTAGATGGATGGCATTTCAAAACTCTTCACAAAGTTGTTGATGTTGTTGTTATGTGCCCTCGACTCATAGCGACCCCTCCTTGGGTTTCCGAGGCAGTATCACTACAGAAGTAGATTGCCCCACCTTCCTTCCGAGGAGTGGCTGGTGGGTTTGAACCTCCAGCCTTCTGGTTAGCAGTCAAGTGCCTTAGGCACTACACTACCAGAGCTCCCCTTCACAATGTTAGGGACACCCAATACACAAAGTCAACCCAGTGGTATCATTTATATCCTGGTGCATAGGCATGGTAGACTTGAAATAGAATAGAAATCATTTGGTTGCACAGAATATGAGCAAGTTATTCTGTGGATACTAGCAGTACATGAACCTTTTCCATCCCCCATCCAGCTAATGAATAAAGGATTGTATTATGTTTAACATATGAAAAACTGTATTTCTAGATTATATGCTTATTCAGCAGTAGAGGAATAAAACATGTGATGCTAAAAATTCAACAACTGTGGAAGAAAACATAAAAACACGTTAGGACTGTGGAGCTATAAACATTCACATCTTTTTGTCCTCTTAAACGCACTGGAAAAGGTTCATTCACATCACACTGAGGATGAGTACAGGTATGTAATGTCCTAGGCTGCCTGTGTGCTCCTCAAATGGGCCAGCAGATTCCAAATCATCTGTGTAGAATCCTGGTAACCACTTCCAGTCTCCCCTTGCCTGTGACATTCACCTCATCTTGGCTAACAGACTGCAGGAAAAGGCAACTAATTTGTGAGCCTCTACCACATGCCTGGCATTGCATGGGCATGTCACCTATTTCACACACCCACTTCTCACTTATCAACATGGTTAAGTTCCAAAGGCCAGGTCACTATGTAAAAACTGGCACTGTGCAAAAATGGAGGATGATCACATCAAATCAAAATGGAGGATGACTACATCATTGCATCAGTGCCAAACTGCGTAAGTACATAAATGCCAAACCACTGAAAATCACTGCTCAGCCAAACTGGCACATACCCTTAACCATCACGGCTGGCATTACTTTTGCTTTGTACCTCGGCATTCATTACTCCCAGATGTATGTCATGAATGCACAAAATAGTCAGATAATAGATTTTTCATTACTGTCATAAATGCAAAGGGTTAGAAGATGAGATAGGTGATAAGTGAGAGGAAGATGTAGGTTGTTTTCCAACTACAAAGTAATGTGGCCATTTGCAGTAAAACATGGTGAGTGAACACTTTGATTCAGGTCTCCTCCTACCCAGATTTCACCAAAATGACAAACAACTACCATAAAAACTCCAGCAAAAGCCAAATATAAAAAAGCAAAGGGGAAGTAAACAACCAAAAATGGAACAAAATAATCAAACAAACGAGTAATGATATCAAAGTTATGGAGACTGGAAAATGGATGGTCTACTGGTATGTGACACACACCAGAAACAGTTGTGACCTGGCTCCCTGAAGTGAGGGAATCCAGTAAGTAGAAAGCTATCAAATGCCTTGGGATAAATGGAAAAGAACAAAAATATCAAAGCAGGCAATATAAATAAGCAATAGTAAAGCCTGAATATTTTTATATTAAGTGCAAAAACTCTTAGCATGTACAATCTCTAACTCGACCATGCAATGTTCTGCTTGTGCACGTAACTGGTAAGCTGCTCACATAAGCTTTACCTTGGCAGCATTTAGAAAGTCGTCGATATGGCTTTGACCCAATGCTCCTTAAGATATCATTAATACTTAGCTGAGGGCAGGTGGACCTTTCATTCAGATAGCCCATCAAAATTTAGTGCTTTTCAAAGGACAAGATTAAAACCTAATGGCTAATTAATTTGCTAACTAGAAAATAGAACATTACACAGCAAAAAGATTTCTGTTCAAACACTTGGTTCAATAGGTGGCATGTCTTTCACTGGACACACAAAGAATGGATCATGGACCACACACCTTCTCAATGATCTCATAACACTCTTCCAGCCGTTGAGATCTATCTTTCAATATGGTGCTCGCTTCTTGGTAGACTTTCAACCACTCCTCGTACTCATTCTCAGAGAGGTCAGCGTAAGCCACACAGAGGGTCCGCAAACCTGCAAAGAGCCATGCATGCCACTGGTGATCTGGGTCAAGCAGAATATTGCACCTCCTATGTAAAATTACCTGGCTTCATTTCAGATAGGTGTGTTCAAATAAAGAAACCGTCTGATTATTCAAATCACTTTAATCCAATTTCCACACCTCTGAAAAGAGGAAATTAAAAATAACTACACTGCATTCTAAGGGCCATCATTACTCAATGGTTAAGCACTCAAGTGCTAACCAAAAGTTGGCAGTTCAAACCCATGAGCCACTTCTCAAGAGAAAGATGAGGCAGTCTGCCTCTAGGTGGAATTATGGCCTTGGAAACTCTATGGTGCAATTCTAGTCTGTCCTACAGGTTCGTAGAGTCGGAATTGACTCCACAGCAACAGGTTTGGTTTTTTGGGTTTGGATACTGTATTCAAATGTGAATAACCTATATATTTAAAAATACATGAGAAGCTACTGAATGTAAATCTCCACAATAGAGAGGTATGGGAGCTGTGCTCCGTCTGTGATCACCTGGGCAGTAGGCAGGTATCAGCAGGTAGAAGATACAGGAAGTATGTCTCAAGCCAGCAATAAAAAACTCAATGTGCTATTGCATGAAAGAGCCAAGATTTCTAGCAGACCTGCCTGTGTATGTGTGTCTGTGTGTATACGTGTATGTGTGCATCACAGCCACAGGGAGCACACAGAGAGAGCAGCAGTCAACACTTAAGCAAAGCTCCTGCTTCATCACTAGCAGGAAAACTTGACATCATTGTTGTTTAAGGCCTTTCAGAGATGCCCTTCCTGTTCACTGTGGGCTCAGTGAGTTATTATTTCCTTCACGTAATTATGAGCCAGTACCATAGGATAACAAAGGAGGGGCAGGGGAATAAGAGTGTTCTGAGCAAGGGCGTATCAGTCACCCAATGACTCTACATGGTGTGAGTTAACCTACCTTTTCCCTCCGTGCACAGCTCCTGTCACCGCTTGCTAAGAGCTAGCAGAGACCCATGTAGGTAACAGAACAGAGACTGTGCCATACATGTTGTCACTGTCATAAGCACAGAATGTAGAGAGATTGGGACTAATGCCAGAAAAACATACTCCTGGTTGTTGTGTTGTTATGTGCCGTTGAGTTGGACTCGACTCATAGCGACCCCTCCTTGGGTTTCCGAGGCAGTATCACTACGGAAGCAGATTGCCCAACCTTCCTTCCGAGGAGTGGCTGGCGGGTTTGAGCTGCCAGCCTTCTGGTTAGCAGTCAAATGCCTTAGGCACTATGCTACCAGAGCTCCCATACTCCTGGTAGACAAGGCCAAAAATGACTCCGCAAAAACATGTCCTTTCAGAATATGACTTCTTTCCCAGGCATCAGCCATAAGCACTTAAAAATACAACTTGAATGGTTAAAAACAGCTTTTCCAAATTTTACTTACCTTCCGTGGCAAAATACTCCAGATGGCATAATGTTTCCTCCATGTATTTTGAATCTTTTGAAAGTCTCTCAAAAATTACATTATCCTATAAAATAGGAAAACACTGTGACTAGCAAATACTTACATAAACCTCCCAGTCAGCCTTCTAAATGTGGCTTTGTTCTATTGGTGTCTGTCTAATGTACACAGTTGAGAATACTTGAGTGGGCAAGTTGAAATACAACTCTTGGCTGGATTCAATCATAAACCTTGGAAAATAAATCAGTTATGCATGTGCCCCACAAAACCAAATCCATTGTGTACCTTCAAACTCAAGCTAACATAGGTTAGGGGAGAACCACAGGGATGAGGAATGGTGCCCATATTCACCCAGATTCATAAAATTCACAGCAAAGTTTATAATGCCTTTTTGTAGAAACAGAAAGGATAAATCGCACATCCCAAGTCACACCAGTACAACCTCATTTTCTGACAGGGAGCAGCCCCTAACCAGGGAGGTCATTAGTACTAGACCCTGAGCCCAGCTCAGCCAAGAAACATTGGTATGAACCAGCTCATCGCCAGGTGACTACTTCCATGACCAACATGCAGGGCAGGGGGACAGAATGCCACACATTATCAGTCAAAGAGTTACTGTAGAGTAAAGAACTGAACTTTACCCAAAGAATTTGCTCTTTGCCCTTGGACCTTGAGAGATAACCTCTACACCCTTGAAATTCCCCAGAGACAAATTGAAGTATCTTTGATGAGGTTTCCACACTCACCTGCTTAACAGGTGACTCAGGTGAGGGCTATTCATGCCAGAAAGACCCACCTTGTGATAGGGAAAGGGGAATATGGTTCAATCAATCATGCCTATGTAATGGAAAGGAGCACTGGTAGCATAGTGCCTATGGCACTTAACTGCTAACCAGAAGGCTGGTGGTTCAAACCCACCAGCCACTCCTTGGAAGGAAGGTTGGGCAATCTACTTCTGTAGTGATACCACCTCAGAAACCCAAGGAGGGGTCGCTATGAGACGGGGCTGACTTGACCACACATAACAACAATAACATGTAATGGATCCTCAGTAAAGGTTCTGGACATGGAAAGTCCATGGGCTTCCTGGTTGGTGACAGACATCGATGTAGGAGGGAGGGGAGAGCGTCCGTTTTGGAGACACAGAAGATCCATCCTGGGAACCCTCCCAGACCTCACAGGATGTATCTCATTTGTATGCTTTTTGTTGTAATGAAACTACAATGGTATGCATAGTAATTAAGGGGATTCTGGGAATCATTCCAAAGAATTATCAAATCTGTGGGAGTGGTGGGAGCCAGCAGTCAGAAGTGAGGGGAACCTGGAGACAGGTGAGCTTATGGCTAGTATCCTAAGGGGAAAGTAGAGGAAACCCCCAAATTTACACCTAGTAGGTGAGAACTGAGGGAGCCTTGGGACCCACAGACTTATAATTGGTATTCTGAGGGGGTAGTGGGAAACCCACGAATTTGCAACCAGCATATCAGAAATAAGGGTGTCATGGAGATTCCCAAGCTTGAGGCTGGCAGCTGAAGTCTTAGGCAGATGTTGGCAGTCTGGAAGACTGTGCCCTTATTTGTGAGGTCTAGTCTAGCGCCAGAGAGCTCTGGTAGCACAGTGCCTAAGGCATTTGACTGCTAACCAGAAGGTTGGTGGTTCAAACACACCAGGTGCTCGACAGAAGGAAGACGGAACAATCTACTTCCGTAAACATTTACCAACCTCAGAAGCCCAATGGGGGTTGCTACGAGTCGGAATTGACTTGATGGCAGTGAGTTTGGTTTGGTTTTCTGTAGCCTAGCTCTGGGCAGCTGGGGTCAGAGGAAGAAGTGCTACACATGCTGCCAGGAACTGAATTGAACTACATTGCTTGGATCATTACATTTGGTGTCACAGATTTGAGCTATAGAGTAATGTGGCACAGTTTGAACTACTCTATAGTTCAAAAGAAACCAAGTTTATTTGTTTGTTGAGGGAGGAGGGGAACAGGTTTAGAAAGCATTAAACCAAAACCCAAACTCACTGCCATGGAGTTGGATCCGACTCATGGCGACCCCTCCTTGGGTTTCCGAGGTGGTATCACTACAGAAGTAGATTGCCCAATCTTCCTTCCGAGGAGTGGCTTATGGGTTTGAACTGCCTAGTCTTATGCTTAGCAGTCAAATTACATTTTATAAAAGTAAAATGGATTATTCTGGCATTTTCATACCTATGTTGTTCTGTGATTACAGGCTTCCTCACATTGCCTTGTTTTATACCTGCTGTGGTATTTAGCAAGGAGCTCTGGTAGTACAAGTGGTTAAGACATTTGGCTGCTAACCAGAAGGTCAGCAGTTCAAACCCACCAGTCACTCTGTGGGAGGAAGATGAGGCAATCTATTTCCTTAAAAGATTTACAGCCTTGGAAAGCCTGTAGGGCAGTTCCACCCTATCCTATAGGGTCATTATGAGTCAGTATCTACCAGATGGCAGTAAGTTTGGTTTTTGATTTTTCTTCCCCAATTTAGCAAAGATTAATAAAATTTTCAACAAATTGCTAATCCTAGTATAGCTTCGTCTTCTTGACACAGTCTCATGAAACAATCTTAATAATTATTTCTTTCAACATGTTAGGCCAAATTTAATAGAATATAATTTTGCAAGTAAGATTCATAAGTAGTAATACCTCCCCTTAGAGATAACAGATTTAGGTTTTATTACTCAGAAACT